TTTCTTCAGTCTGTTCTGTATTATGAGATGGAGTAAAAGGCACATTTCTCTTAACCCCTTTCTCTTCTGCTTGGTTGTGGGGATAAGTAAAGGTTGAACATATTGTCTTTATGAATCACTTGGAATTAATCTCCCAATGTTAATGAGTTCGTGTGGTGTGAAAATAGCTCGATACTTTTCTCTTGTGACTGTATTCTGTACTGAAGCACAAGTGAACATCTGTGAGATCTGTGAAATCGGTAGCCTGGACTAGTTAGTTCCAACATGTTATCTACATCAAGCCCTCTTATTTTCCAAGGACTTAGTAGGTCACCACGATAATTTTATTAGCAAATTGAAGGCAGGGACACTTTTCTCTTTGATCATCAGGAGTGCCCACACCATAAGGAAACTGTTTAGTCATAGAGAGTTGGAGGAGTAAAATCTGTACCTGGGGTTTTTACCTTGGGTATCATTGTAGGATGTCATAAATCATCTTCCCCCCCACACTGGTGCCACTCAGTCACTGAGACCAGCAAATGCATTTTCTCACATTTTCTGGCTGTAATTCCAGGAGATAGTTCCACTCCATCGGGAATTGCTGTTCTGGAACACAATAAACTTCCATTGATGTTAGATCCTGTGAGACTTGTGTTGTAAGACATTGAACAGTTTCATTATTTAGCAGCCTATTTTATTTTTGGTTGCTATTTTATCTTCCTTTTAGTCCTGTGATCCTGTGATTGTCAAACCTATCTCTGTCACATTTGTAGTTTTCTCACTATGCTAAGGTTATGTTTCTGATTTTATGATGGTGTGATTTTTTTAAATAATTGAACATATGACAGGATAAAATTATACTCTTGCTTTTTTTTCTCCTATAAATTTTAGAATCTAGCAAAAATTCCAGAAGTTGTCAGCACTGAATACTAAACAATCTTATGATTTATGAAGTTTTTTAATTGAAAGCTATGAGTTTCACTTGTTTTCTTTCCTAGCACAACCAAATGTATACGCATATGTCTACTTGTCACGGGTGAAGGGAGAGTGAAAAGTGGGGAGCGGGGTTGCTGTGCAGGTTTTCCTTACTGGAGAAATTAGGAAGGGGAAGACTGTCCTAACTTAGTGTTTACAAACCACCTTAGGTGTTTGTAAATGGCCCACAGGTGTGGAAGGATTCTTGCTGACCTGCCACAATCAACTTCTGATTTGAGGACTTCTTTTAGTAGTTAGACGTATTGGAGAAATCTCTTTCAATTCTGTCTCTGCACCTTTGTAGTCTGCTGACTAGACTTAAATTTAAAACTATGCATGATTTCTACTTCTGGTCTTAACTCTTCACAAGTTGAAAAGAAGTCATTAAGAAAGCATATATCTATCTATCTATATATATCTATATATAAAAATCTTTTTGAGGTACTGGGTTTGAACTCAGGGCTCCACACCTGCTAAGCAGGAGGCCTGCCACTTGAGCCACTGCTCCAGCCTTTTTTATTCTGATTATTTTGCAGACGGGGTCTCAATTTTTTGCCTAGGTTAGCTGGGATCTTCCTGTTTTTCTTGCCATCATTGGGATGACAGCTGCATGACACCATACCCAGCTTTTATCTGTTGAGATGGGAATCTCACAAACTTTTGTGCCTGGGCTGGCCTGGAACTGTCATCTTCCAGATCTCAGTCTCCCGCATAGTTTAGGATGACAGGTATGCACTACTGTGCCCAGCTATTGTTTGAAATGGCATCTTAGGAGCTTTTTCTTGGGCTGGTAGGACTGGGGTTTGAACTCTGGGCTTCACACTTGCAAAGCAGGCACTTTACTGCTTGAGCCACACCTCCAGTCCATTTTGCACTGGTTATTTTAGAGATGGGGGTCTCATGACCTATTTGCCTAGCCTCCCAAGTAGCTAGGATTATAGGCATGAGCCATGGGTGCCTGGCTTCAATAGACATATATTTAGCACCTCCTATATTTACCTGACAATATTTAAGGTTAAGGGCACATGATAGAATTTTAGAATTTTATAGAGTTAGGCGAGCCCATCTCTGTATCTAATGACTCACTTGGGGGCTAGGACCTCTAAGAAAAGAACTGGATTTTGAAGTCAGATGATTGGAAGACAGAGCTGGCTTTAAGTGGAGAGTGGATTTTAAGGCCCATCGGAGGGGAGCTGGGAAAGGAATCAGGTTCTTTGGCCATATGCAGCTTGTGGAATGGATGCAGAAAGGTGGCCTGGAGTAGAGCACTTGGTGTGTCTGTCCTCGATTCAGCCACCCTTTCTTTTCCAAAGAAAGGAAAATATTTTGTATATTTAAACACAAATGCACACACAAGCATATATAACAAAAAATTAACAACACAGGTTCTCAACCACTGCTAGCATCCCTACCAAACTCTTTCCATCTCTTAAACATATTCTAAACAAACCCTTGGTATATTTCTGGGATACTAGTTATAGATGTGTACGGAGAAACAAGTGCTGCATGAGAGGAGATCATACCTGCCTAATCAAAATTCCAGATGACTTATAGGGAGCAGTATGTGCAAAAGGAACATAGCCATTAAACAGCTTGTTGCCTCAGAGGAATGATAATTCACAACAGTGTGATGACGTGCAGGAAGGATGTCGGTAGGGTGTTTGACTCAGGTTGAATATGAGCCTAGAGTTACTGCTAGAAACTCCGACCTTGCTGGAAATATTTATGAGCTCTGGTGTCTGGCACACAATTGCTGTTTACATCAATAGTACTTGCTATGATTATTGTTAGACACAAACTGTGACGTGGCATTATAGGAACTTAAGACTTACCACTTTGGAGAATGGGGAGTATCATGCCAGTTTTCCATAGTTGATAGTTGACTGATACTTGGAATGTGGGAAAAGAGATTTTTTTCAGACACTGTTGTAATTCAGGCAAGAGATGTAATGAAGATCTGAATGACAGTAAAGGTAGTGAGGATAGAGGAGTGTATTCCTCAGGTTTGTTTCTGTAACAGAGAGCCACAGATTGTGTAGCTTCAATAACAAATTTTTTCCTCATAATTCCAGTGGCTGAGAAGCCCAAGATCAAGTTATTGTCTGTCTGAATCACTTTCTTGTGATGGTCCTCCTCCTGGTTTGTAGAGTACTGGTGTCTGGCTGTGTCTTCACAGGCCTGGGAGTAGAGGTGGACTGGGGAAAGAAAGAGGGAGGTCTGGTATCTCTTGCAGGGAACTAACCCTTTGTATCAAAGTTCCATTTTCACAACCTCAAGTAAACTTAATTACTTCCTGGAAGGCCTCTCCAATTACAGTGAAATAGAAGGTTAGGGCTTCAACATATGCATTTGGGTGGGGACACAGTTCTATCGGTTAACAAAGAGTAAACTCGCCAGCTTACCTGCTTCTTTGACTGTGGTGGGTGAGACAAGGGTGAACTTGGGGGTCCCCTCTGGGCCTTAGACTTGGTGAGATGTGTGTGGAGGAGAGGTTGGTACCATTATTGTAGTAGGGAAGGATGTGGAGGTGTCTTGGTGTGTATGTGTTTTGTTGAAATTTATTTTGTCCTATTCTGCCTAGAAGCGAGGGGGGTGGGGGAGAGAGATGGCCCAAACAATGTGTGCACATGTGAATAAATAAATAAACAATAAGAAAAAGAAATTGATATGTCCTGATGAAGATTTCTTTTTGAAGGCTGATAAGTGTGACTGTAATATTTTGTAGTTTATTCTACTCAAAAGGAAAGTGTTTCTGATCCTCTTCTTGAGTTATCAATTCCTTGTGTTTGTAATTTCTAGGGAGGGTAAATTGTGTACACACTTATTGTGCTAGTTGCAGAAGTTTTTTCCATTTTGTGATATGCCAAAAAATAGCATATTTTTCTTTCAGTAAGGTGGTTTGTAATGGGTATGGAGGTTTAACATTCTTTCTTGTTTTTCTTTTACATTTTGACATTTTAAATATGACCTCATTGAGAGGCATTTCCTGCCTTTCCTCTTGTTTGTGTTTTTTCTTCTCTGCTCCTGCAGTGAGGCCTTAAGAAGACACGTGCTTGACGTCTGCGTTACCTGGTTGTCGATGTCTGGTGATATTTTTAATAGTCAAGGCAATAGCTTATGAGCAGGTGCACACATGTCCAAGTAAGAGGTGTTTGGAGAATTATTCCTGTGATTTCCAGGAACACTGCATCAGCGCTTTCTCAGAGAAGTTTACCTTATTTTATTGTGTCTTATTTTATTATGTGTGGGTTTTATACATATTTTGTATTTTTTCTTTTTATTGAAGCTTAATATACAGAAGTTGGATTGTATACATTTTCATAAACAGAACACACCTCTTTAACCAGCCCTGGGATAAATTGACTTTTAAAAAAAAATTATGTTGTTTGGGAGAAAAGTGGGCCTGTCTTAATCTGCTACTTTATACATTGAGAGAAAACGTGATCTTTAAACTTTTAACTTTCACTTTCACATTAACATACTTCCTGTTGTCTAATTACTTAAGAATTACCTAATTATGCAGCTAAGCTCACATATTCGTGTTGATTCTTTACATATAATGCTGCTGCCTTCTTTTTTGAAATGTAAACCATTGATCTGAGAAATATGTTCTAGCTGCTTTTAAAGGCTCTGAGAGTCGAGTGAGAGATTTGTTTGAATTTAGCTACTGTTAAGACAAATGACCTAAAATATGAGAATCAAAAGAATGGAGGGCTATTGTTTAGACTTCCCAAACTGTGGATGTTAAATTTTAATTTTAATTCTTGTGCCTGACTTGGTTATTTACTACCTGGTTAGAGTGTAGACCCTGGGTAGTTACCTGTTAGTTCATAGATTTTTGTCTGGTAGAAAAGGTAATCTCAAATGTTATCATTTGATTGCCCTTTAGTATGTTAATCAGGTTTTTATTTTACTTCGCTGTTTTATTCTAATATTTACACATACACACATGCACATATGTGTGTGTCTATATATATATTTGTATATATATATATATATATATATAATTAAAATATCATAAAAGTCATTTTAATTTTTTTTTCCAGGCCTATGCACATGAAGCTGTTATTGTGAAGAGAATAACATTTTGGGAAACTTTTCTGTCACCATCAATTCAGGAAAAAACTGTAGAGAAGAGCATCATCTTGTTTGTGTATCTCATTTTGCTGCTTTTCCATTACTCAGCTTAGTAATGAAGCCACCATTATGTCCTCAGTCAGTGAAGTAAATGTTGACATCAAAGATTTCCTGATGAGTATTAATTTGGAGCAGTATCTCTCACATTTCCAAGAGTTTGGTTTTTATACTGTGAAGGACTGTGCAGCAATAAATGATAGTGTGCTACACAGAATCGGAGTATCACCTACAGGGCACCGTAGGAGGATACTTAAGCAGTTGCAGATAATCTTGTCAAAAATGCAAGAAATCCCAATATATGCGAATGTTCATAAAACAAAGAATGGTGACACTTCAAAAGAGCACCGCCATGCTCCATCTTCTGATCCGAACACCTGCATAGAACTTTCCAATTCTGGTAGTATTCAGACACCTAGTTTGACACAGTTGGAGACCATTACAAAAAATCTTGATCAAAATGATTTTCGTATGGACTGTAGTCAGTCTCTTAAATCAGAAGATAAGCTATTTCTTTCTCAACAGGACTTTTCTGTTCCAGAGGAACGACACCTGAATTTGAGTTCTTCTCATGACTCTTTATTTGGTAGTGAAAATGTTAAAATAGGATCTTGTATTACAAAGAATGCTATGGATTGTACAACTGAAGAACAACAAACAGAAAGTGTTGATTTGATATCAGCAAATTGCAGCAGTCTCCCATATGCAGACCTTGAATGTCTTCCTTCCATTGACTATTCAACTTCAGAAGCAAGTTCTAGAAATGGAAGTAATGGTTTATTAGAAAAATTGCCACCATCACCTTTCTTTGAATTTCAAGGAGAAATGGTTATAAATGATTTGTACACTCCATCCTCACCAACCCAGGCATCTATGAGGAGTCGTAGCAAGTTGGTTTCAAGACCTTCTCGATCTTTTCTGCTAAGACATCGGCCTGTACCAGAGATTCCAGGGTCAACAAAAGGAATTTCAGGAAGGTAAGAATTTTTACAATAAGCTGTAAGTATTCAGTTTAGGGGAATTGAGTTAAACAGTTCTATTTTCAGTGTTTCTTCTCTAAATTTATATGTATAAATAAGCACACACACATATGTATAATTATTCAACCAACCTTTTTGATCTTCCGACTTTTTCTCCTATTTTTTTTTTTTTTTTGTGGAGTATGTTATTTCCTAAAGTCAGTTTCCAACTGATAACTACTTGGGACTCTAACTCTCCCATTTAACTGGGGGGACATCCCTTTCCCTAAATCTATCTGGTATTCCTTCCTGTACTTCCCTCCACATCTGATATTATAGTGTTGAATTAATACAGTTCATGTATTTGAATTGCTGACTCTGTCTTCCACTAGATTATTTATTTTTTGGAAGGAAGCATGTTTTTAATATCTGTATCTATACTGCTGGGTACAATGCTTGGTACCAATTAATAATTCAACACATAGCTATTGAACTTGGTACTAGTGATTGTGCTAAGTGGAAAGGATATAAAGAGGAACCAGAGAGCTTGTAGTCTACTGTAGAGGACAGATTTTATGTACAGTAAGAAAGAGAAGACAGAAGATAGTACAGTATAAAACCAGGTCCATGGAGAGCAGAACTCTGAACTCCAAAGAGGGATCCTTCCAACTAATGGCAGGTCACAGGTATCTTCAGGTAACTGAACAGTTTGAGAGAAGCAGATTTACAGCAGAGAGAAGCTTCACCTATTTCTTGTCTTATGCCTAAGATGGCTGTGCTTTTCTTCAGGGTTGGAGTGGGGCATTACTTCTTCCACCAAAAGCTAACACTGTCTCTGCTGGGGAGGCATGAAGCTATTCAAATTTATTGGTTATTGCAGTGCTTTATTGCAGACTTCCTACACAGGCTGCTGGCTGGCATTTCTGCAAGATTTCCCTGTTGGGCTTGAATATGTCTGTTACTAATTCTCTTTCCTTTGGGCACCTTTGGTAATTGAAGTACAAGTAGTATTTGCAATAGAAAAGGTAGCAATTTAGTATTTGCAAGAGAAAACATGGCAATTTATGACTGCTGAATTTCAGTACAGTTAGAGCATAAACTCCTTGGGGAGGCTTTAATTAATTTCTCTTTATTGTGATATCTCTAATGCCAACAGCAAAGTTTGATGTTTACTAGGAATCAGTAGTAATAGTGCCATTAATGAAACAGATAGGTGCTGATTTGGCTTTAGTTTTCCTTGGCTTATCTATAAAGTAGGTACTGTTCACCCTGTTTTACTCATGAGGTAGCAGTCTTAAGCTGATTTTCCCAGGGTCTCGTGGTCAGTGAACTGGGATTTCATTCGACTACATCTGACTCTTGGATCTAATTTCTTAATCACACATGTAATAAATATTTTTAAAATGTCAACTGCATATATAAGAATTATGTTATTTCATAGGATCATGGAAGATCACTAATTTTTGTTCAACCTTTAGATTTAAAATATTTTGCTGATTTTGAACAATTAAAGGAAACTAAATGAAAAGCCACATTTTATCAGCTATCAATAGTTTTCAACATGTAAGAAGTGTGTACTATTGAGGTAGGGTAGATTGGCATTGGAAAAAGAACAGAGGCAAGCTGCATGGTGGCTAGAGATTGATTCAACTGCAGGGCTGCATTGTAGCAGGACATCATGTGGACATGTATTAAAAATGCAGGGCTACCCCAAGCTGGCTGAATCCAACATGGCCAACCAAGATGACCACTAACTATCCTTTGCTTCATTATAATGGTATCTTCCTACCATTAACCTTGCAAAATTGGTTGTTTCCATCCTGTATTTGACACCATAACACATGGAAAAACCCCGTATAAGGGCAGAAAAAGAGAGTAAACCCTATTTCAGGAACATCCTCATTTCTGGGATTCCTTCCCCAACACCCTCAACTCAAATTATTTCCCCCCACCCTTGGTTAAAGTTTGCACCCCAGATGATCTGTCCTAAATCCTGGGACATGACACTCTCTTGAAAAGCCTGCAGTCCCTCTTGAGTGTGTACTTAACTCTCTGTTATAACCCTCCCAATTCCTTACTGTGTCTGTCACTAAATTCTTTCACCAATAGTAACTAGAACCTGGAAACCCTGGGTGGAAGTCTCAGTTTGGTCTCTCTAAGTCATGACACTTTCACAAGCTTTCACCCATGAGCAGTACTATGAGTTCATAAATAAAATTTATTTCATTCTGTTCAACTTTGTCTGAACAGAATTCCATTGGAATCCAGAAGGATAATGTCAGATAAGAAATAGTTTTTTCAGTTTTTCATAGTGTATGCTATTTTTCATGAATTTTACAGACTCTTTAGTTGCTTATTTAGCCAAGGACAAAGGTGCAGTTTTGTACCTCTGTCTTCTGAGGGTCCTCGCTGGGTCTGAGAATTAAATTGACAGGTGAACAGGAGAAAAACAAGTTTATTATTGCAAGTAAGTGCAAGTTTTGCCTGGAGTAGGAACCCTCACAGAGATGAAAACCCTAAGAAGCAGTTAGTCAAACTCTTAAATACTTGCCTGGACAAAGAGTAGAAAGTTGTGAAGAAGTAAGTCAATCCCATGGTAGGTTTAAAAGGTAAGGTTTATTTTGACAAGGTCCTTACAGACTTCTTTAGGCTCTACTATTTCCACTTCTGTCCTTGAGGATAAGGATGGTATGCCTTTCTCGGGAATTTCGTCTCTTGTTTTTGAGGAATGATACCAAGGCCAGAGTTATGTTTTTGTACCTGCTGTCTTTCAGCCTTTAATTCACAATAGTCAATATGCCAGAGTGGTTTATTGTTAACTGCTTTAGTTGTAAATATAAGCTTTGCATCGTGTGAGATGCTGTTCATATTAAGGCTAGGAGTCGTTGAAAATTAGAAACGAAATAACATTGAAATTAGTAGTCAATAATTTAGCACTAGCTATATCACAGTACAGTTTTCAATGTGATTTTTGAGGCCAAGTTTCCCACTGTGACCTTTCTTTTCTATGATTATGGTAAGAACTAGATCCTATGCTTTCTTGGAGTTTAGATCATAAAATGAGCAAATGATCGGTTTTTCTTTGTGGCCCTACCTTGAACTGAAGTGTTTGTAGTGTTATTATATGATTTTTAAATAAATAAAGTGTTATTAATTATGTTATACTTTTATATAAATAATGTGTTATTATATGACTTTTAAAATAAAGCAGACTATACAATCTGAGTTTCTCTTTGGTCAGATAACAACATTTATAAATGATGTTTGTGTTTTCTTTGATGGACCAAATAACAATATTTTTTTGTACCTTCCCTAACTCCTTTCTCTTAACTTATCTGTCACAATTGACATTCTCCTCAAATGAATTCTCTTTGTTCTTGCTTTGTCTTTTTCCTGAATTCCTCCTGCCTGCTCTCTTTCTCTGGAGGGCTGGGCCAGGTGGGGCTATGGGAGGCAGTGAGCCTCAGGATCTCTTTGTAACTCCTGTCTCTTGAGGACAGATCAGAACCAGTCTTGAGGCATCCACTCCTTTATCACCTTCACTTGGAGGTATCTTTAGTCTTTTGGAGCCCTAAACAGGAAGCAAGTACAAATAGCATCTTAGTATTTCCATGGGAATTATAGGTGTGTCCTGTGATCCTTTTCAGAGAATCCTGAGGCCAGAAGGAACAAGTACCTTAAAATTACTAAAAGAGGTACCTTTCTTTTTCCTCCTCCCCAGTTTAATGATTTTTTTTGTACACTTTTCATGCAATTATTTTATGCTTGGCACAGGTTACAAAGCCCTCTCTTTTAGATGTAGTGCTTCTGAATGTTTGGAGAGAAGGGAAAATAAGGATGCTGAAGTTATGGAAAGGTGATATATGCATGGTACTAGAAAGCCAGTCCCTGACCTCAATACGAATTCACAAATAATGAGAGGAGAGTTTTGAGGAAAAGAAAATAAGGTTTATTACTCATCAGAGGAAGAGGACAAGGAAAGTCAACCTTTCAAAGCTCTGGCATCCCACTTCTGAGAAAAAATGGCTGCTTTTTAAAGAGGAGTTCAGGTGAAGTGCATGACAAAATGAATGTGCCAGAATTTTAACTCTTATCTTCCAGCTTTCTGGTGCCACAACTCCAAAGCTGTATGTCTTGGATGACAGAGGTTTATTCCTTCTTTGGTAGTCAGGTGGTCAGAGAGAGATAAGGGGGAGAAGATTGCCTGGTTTAGTTGAAGAGTAAAGAATGTTAACCTTGGGCTGCCCAGCATGAAGTGGGTAGGAGAGAGGAAAAGGGAGAGAAAAAGACACACACACATACACACTACATTTTCCCCACTGTCAATTTCTTCCTTCCATTTCTATGGAAAAAGGGTGTCACAATCATCTGTTTCCTGACTTTAGTTAATTTGTTGGCCCAAGTAAGCAAAAAAGAAACAAACAAACAAAAAACAGCTTTTAAGCAACTTGTTATATGCACAGCTGTACTGGGATAGAAGTACATCTTTTATAAAACAGGTGAAATCTAAACCTGTAGTCTCCAGCTCTTTTATTAAAAATAGGAATCTTAGTATAGGCTTGGTGGGGCATGGCTATAATCCTAGCCCTTGTGAAGTGGAGGTAGGAGGTTTGTGAGTTCTAGGCCAACCTGGTCTACATAGCAAGTTTGAGACTGGACTGGGCTACCTGGTAGAGGCCCTGTCTCAAAAAAAAATGAGAAATAAGGAACACTCTTTTATAGAGTTTTTTTTTAATTTTTTTTAAAGTAAAAAAAATTTATATGAACAGAAGGGGTGAAGGAAAGTAATAAGCTACACTGAGTACAAAAAGTTACAAAACTTATCATGTCCTTTTCATTTTCTAGGAAAACTTCAAACTTCAGATTTCACCTTATAGCAGTAAATCCTATTTTAGTAAATCCTAAAATCCAGGTTTTTATTTTTTTCCTTTTAAAATTCTTTATTGATTAGTTTTATGTAAAAACTGGCTAATTGTTTAAAAATTTGCAAAGTTTTGACTTGACCATTTAAATAATTA